TTTATATGTATATAATCCAATGAAATAAGTCAATATACATATAAATTACTCAATTATATTTGACTACTTAATATTAAGGAAATCCATGAGGGCTTGTCCTCTGTGATTGGTGTTCGTACTACCCCAAGCTACATGGTGGGAGTTAACATCACAACCTAATACAATTTTCTCATTTTTCCTTTGTGACTCTTCAAGCAGTTTCATCAGCTCCGACGTTGGTGGTTTTTACCTGATGAGAGGTATATGTTGCCACTACCTTGCTTCAGTACCGTTGCATTCGATGTAGATAATCCTGTTGAGAGGAGAAAACATAAGTTCTTGTGACATAAGATACATGTTCTCGGTCGAGACCCTGTATCTGCGTAGAAAAGTTGGAAATTTACGTGATTTAGTCCATGCGAATCGTCCAAGGATCCTGGACTAAAGCTATATGTATCTTACCTGTGTAGGATTTTACCATCAGAGCGTTGGTAGCCGCCTCGCTCAATCATTGTCATCCATTTAAATTGTCTTCCAGCGAGTTGGTGATCACCTCCTCGCTCGTTGGATTTAACTCCTCCGGGTAGCCTGAAGTGGCAATTAATGCAGTAGATTCCATTGATGGCACTGCGGTCTCCTTGTCATGCAGTCTTTTTAATCGACACCTTTCCAATTTTGGAAAGCACTGCTGTTCTGTCTTCGGGCAAGTGAGTGATTTCCTCCTCGCTTTTAGGATTTGACTCCTCAAAATTACCAGTACTTGCTAATGATACTTTGGGTACCGTCTTAGGTGTTTTAGTGTCCTTATCGGGCCGGTTTTGACAATCCTTTCAATCGGCGCCTTCCCAATTTTGGAAAGGGCAGCTGCACTTTCTTTTGGCGAGTTTGTGGTAACTTCCCCGCTTTTAGGATTTGACTCCTCAACGTTATCACTAGTAGCTACTGATGCTGTGGTCTTAGGTATTTTAGTGTCCTTTTCGAGGCTTGTTGTAACAGCTCTTCCAATCGGCACCTTCCCAATTTTGAATATGACAGCTTTAGAGGCGAAGTAATCCCTACCTTTATTCTCGGCAAGACTAGCCATAGATTTCTGGTCGATACCTATTACAAATAAAGTTCCCTTAGGTTCTTCTTTCCTGTAAAAGACGTCCCATTTTCCACGGCCAGCTAAGCATTTTGACCTCCAAGAATTTCCAGTATACATTCATTAGCCAGTTTACTGCCCCATCCTTTTATGTAGACAGTGGACTTTAAGAGCACCGGAAGCTCGCTTTTCTTTGCCAGTCCCAGCTTAGCGCCGTCCCAGGGAGGAGGGATACTTTCCACCAAGTTCTTTAGGGTGCTAACACATTCCATTCTGAACTCGCAGCTCACGCTCTCTATTGGTTGTTTGCCCTTTGAAGCGATTGCATGGTCCACTATCTTATAGTTCACCAGATCTTCTGCCTTACTCTGTTGGTCTATTGGGGCTTCTTTTGAGATACCCGTACCTTCGAGTTTGATTTCGCCGACGTCATCGTCTTCGGAATATCTATCTTGGCGTTGCCACCCTTACTCGCAGGATTCTGACTTGATGTTCCTTTGAGTGAAGTATGGCTTGGCTTCGACTGTGTATTAGAAGACGGGGAGCTCTTTTTCTTCTTAGGTTTATTCTCAGTTGTCAAACGGGAGACCTGATCCTCTTTGCCTCAGATCTTGTGAGAGAGTCCGATTTTTTCCTTTGGAGTGTCGTTGGATTGACTAACTTTGATTTCCTGAAGCATCTTTTTTAACTTCCTCCTCTGTGCTCCAGATAGTCTTTTCTTAGTAATAGTTAGTTTAGCTGCGCTATCACTCATCTGTTTCAATATTTGCTCTACTTCATCCTTTTTGGGATTTGCTATAATGGTGTTGTTATTATCACCTGAGGATTCAGAGTCGGAACCCTCACCTATATTTAAAGGCTGAGGTAGCTAAGAGCTCTCTCCGAGTACATCCTTCTCTTTCACCCCTATGCTTTTGCCAATGGCATGCTGTACACTTGACGCATTGTCCGCCACGGAGGCAAAGGTACCCAGCTTCGTAATAGTATTTTGCTCACGATTCCAGGATGACGACACGTGACTCGCGAGTACTATAGTTCAACACTTGCCGCCGGTACTGGGTTATTTAGGCCCTGCACTGTAACTTTTTATTTTTATTTTCCATGTTTGTTTTTTCTTTAATTTCTGATTTTAATTCCCTTTCTATTCTAATTTTTGTTAGCGGATACTCTACTAGAAATTTTCAAATTTTATTTGATTTATCAAAAATTAAAATAAAAAATTGTAAAATTTGTACAGTAGTAAAATAGATAAGTTTACTAAAATTTAATTTTCTATGGTTCCCTTCATGGTCCAACTCTGATTTTTTTTATATGTTGTTGTTGATATTATAAACTAATTTTAGTAAAGGAATAATGAAAATGGGAGAAATATGAACTTTAAACTTAGATAAAATCAAAACAGAGATTACGGAAAAAATGTTTAAAAGTCCGATTTTACTGAAGATATCTATTTAATTTAGAAATAAAAGTATTTTTTTAAAAGTGTTTTTTTATTTTTCTTAAGTTTTAAGAGTTATAGTTCGATGGACCGGTTATTTAACCCTACTGCAATACCTGTCCATTGGACAAGCTACTTGGGGGCACTTGACTTACCCCTAGGACACATCAATAGCTAGTAAAGTAATTAGTAAAAGAGCTAGTAATGTGACTGACTCCCAAGAACCCATTTGGAGATTACCATCCATTGATTACTTTTGACTACCTTTTGACAGTTTCTTTGTAGACTGTAGATTGACGATTGACTTCCTCGTAGGACAAGCCCATGTTAAAATGGTTGGTCACCTGGGGCCACCATAAGTGGTAAGCCAAGTGGTTAGTTCGGAATTGTCCCGTCGAAGTGCTGGGTGTCGAACTGCTGGGTACATACATATGATGTATACATTTACACTAATGTGTAACCACATGGTTGATCCTAATTTATATATATTGGGTTATTCGTCACCAACGTACTCTTCGTAAATGAGAGGGAGGACAGTCGTCACTTTAGGTACCCTAGGTAAACGAGTGAAATTTAAATAAACGAGTGAAATTTTAATTATGAAATTTAAATAAGAAATATTTATAATTTGGAAGACTGAATTCATTTAAAATGAGTTAGAACAAAAATCTTTAGCAGAGATTACGGAAAAAATAATCTTTCCTTAATATAACAAATTCTATTCTTTCAGAGTCATTTATGTGTATTAATGAATTCCAAAGTTTAAAAGTCCGATTTTACTGAAGATACAAATGAGCAGCAATATTAATAATATTTATTTCAATATCTATTTAATCTAGAAATAAAAGTATTGTTTTTAATTGTTTTTTTTTTATTTTTCATAAGTTTTTAGGGTTATACTTCGACGGACCGGTTATTTAACCCTAATGCAATACCTGTCCATTGGACAAGCTACTTGGGGACACTTGGCTTTCCCCTAGGATAAGTCAATATCTAGTAAAGTATGTAACTACTAAAAAAGCTAGTAATGTGACTGACTCCCAAGAACCCATTTGGAGATTACCATCCATTGACTACTTTTGACTACCCCTTGACAGTCTCATTGTAGAGTGTAGAGTGACGATTGACTTCCTCGTAGGACAAGCCCATGTTAAAAAGGTAGGTCACTTGGGTAGTCGTGTGGCTAGGGGCCACCATAAGTGGTATGTCAATTGGTTAGTTCGGGACTGTCCCGTCGAACTGCTGGGTATTTTTTACAGTAAAATACAGAACAGGGGAACCGTCAAAATTTAAACAATATTATATTGATTGCTAGAAAAATAAAATTAATAATGCAAAAATCGGAAGCAAAAATTATGGGAGTACATGATCCGCAACATGTAATGCTGGCTATGGACCACGTTGTTTTCAAAAATAAGAAACATGATCCATGCCTGCATTACATAGGACAACTAGACGGATCATGTATTTCTGTATACTTATTTTTGTGATTAACTGTACATATATGTACTGTGAGCGTCAAAATATAGTGTACACCAAGTTCAGTTCTACAAAAGACGGTACTTAGGCAAGCAACCGAATGGAGTAATTATGTTATTTTGCAGCTTTATTCGGATTTTGGTAAAAATAAGTTCAAATATATAAAATTGAAATAATGTATAAATAGACTCCTCCCGTACCGTGAAATACCAATTCAGTCAGTGAACAATTAAAAACTATTGAAAAATTGTGTATGACATCATACGGTTGGGAATATTCGTTAACCAGGGCTACTAAAGTGGCTTACTATTGCTAAAGAACTGCAAAAATCATGAGGACCGAAGCTCAATTCCCTGAAAATTGTTATGGAATTATCGAAAAATATAAGAGTTACACCAGGGAATCTAGTGGATATGAATAAATGTGTTATGGATATGAATAAAAGTGTTATCTACCTAGGGATTTAAAAAAATTTGTCGTTTTTATCGCTTATATAAGTAAACAAAACCAAATGTTTATGTTTTGTTTGACAAATTTAAGTTGAAAAATAAAATAAAAAGAAAAATTATTTTTGTAATTTTTTTTTGTAAAAAACTTTTTATGAATGAAAATTGCATCTAAATTATGAAATATCACGTAATATATAATGGATATTAGACAGCATATGGTTTCCAACAACTAATGACCTTTAATAAACATTTATTTTAAATTTCACGTAAACTAACTAGAGCCTATATTATTTCATACAAATGAAAAAAAAAATGTTGTTAGAAACATTTCACATGTTTTTAAAAAATACAAACAGAGTACTAATTCAGCAACATTTTTCCGTAAAATTTTCATTACAATTTTTTTTGTATGAAGTTTTTAAAAATTTCACGTGAAATTTTGAACAGAATACCAAGCTTAAGGCAGTAAATGTTTTCATAACAAAAAATACGAAAAGATTGTTTTAAAAGTATTAAAACATTTAAAAACCTTAAAATTCAAATGTTCTTTTTTGTATTATTTTAATTACAGGGGTAAGCGTTACAAGATTAGCAATGATGAATCACTGCCGAGCTCTTACTATGGCATGTCACTACACAGAAGGTGAAACAATGGTATGTGTTTTAGATTTTAAACGCGAAGTTGGCCTTTGGCATGCTGTTTTCACTTCAGTATTAAATGGGATGCATGTATTGTTTATACCGTACGCACTAATGAAACTTAGGCCATCCTCTTGGATGCAGTTAATTACAAAGCACAGGGCATCATGCTGTCTAGTCAAAAGCCGAGACTTACATTGGGGTCTCTTAGCAACAAAAGATCACAAGGATATATCGCTATCATCACTGCGAATGCTTTTAGTAGCTGATGGAGCAAACCCTTGGTCGCTGTCGTCGTGTGATCAGTTTTTAAACGTTTTTCAATCAAAAGGATTGAGAGCAGATGCTATTTGTCCTTGTGCTAGTAGTTCAGAAGTTTTTACGGTATCTCTTCGTCGTCCTGGCAGATCTTCAAGTGGTTTTAATCAGTCTGCAACCGGAAGAGGTGTACTCTCCATGGCAGCTCTTTCGCACGGTGTTGTACGAGTGGATAGTGAGGATTCTTTAACATCTCTAACACTTCAGGATTGTGGACAAGTAATGCCTACGGCAACAATGGTAGTAGTGAGATCTGATGGTAATCCAGTTCTCTGTAAAACAGATCAAGTTGGAGAAATATGTGTTACGAGTGGATCAACTGGCTCCAGTTATTTTGGTTTAGAAGGTTTAACAAATACCACATTTAAGGTGCAGCCTCTTTTAGAGGAGCCTGAACCCGAAAAGGATGGTGTCATTGGAAAACTAAAACCAGTTAGTGATGAATATTATGTCCGTTCCGGCCTTTTAGGATTTTTAGGTCCTGGTGGACTTGTATTCGTATGTGGTTCACGTGATGGGTTAATGACTGTAACTGGCCGTAAACATAATGCCGACGATATAATCGCAACCGTTCTCGCTGTAGAACCGATGCGCTTTATTTATAGAGGAAGAATAGCAGTGTTTAGCATAAAAGTGTTAAGAGATGAACGAGTTTGTGTAATAGCAGAACAACGACCTGACTGTTCAGAAGAAGAAAGTTTTCAGTGGATGTCAAGAGTTTTGCAAGCTGTGGATTCAATACATCAAGTCGGAATTTACTGCTTAGCACTGGTTCCTCCAAATCATTTACCTAAGACCCCACTGGGAGGAATAAATCTTTGCGAGGCACGGCGAAGATTTTTAGATGGTACTTTGCATCCCGCAAATGTTCTGATGTGTCCTCATACATGTGTAACAAATTTGCCAAAACCTAGAGAAATTCATCAAGGTAAATTATATATTATTAACCTTTATCATTTAAATAACTACATTATGACACACGAATACATACAAATTTATACACACAAACAAAATCGTATTAATCTTATAAAAAAATCATTATGTATATGGGGTATTTGCTTTTTTGCTGATGTTTGCATGCGTTTCAATTTAAAATCACTTTTTATGTACGATGTCCGCGTGATAATGAAATATTTATTATTAGCTTTGCCGTTAAATAATTATTTTACCTACCAAATTTTGACAAAAACAAACATGATTTTATATAAGATAATTTCGTGTCAAGTGACCCAACTCAAAGAATCGATTTGGATGAAATATGCACCAAGGTTAGTACCAAAGAATAATAAGAAGTTGGACTATGACATTGTTTTACAACAATAACATTTCCTTCTCTTCACAGACGAGTTCTGTGTAAATTCAACACACTTGTGAGAACTCAATTCTCTCACAATACTTCAAAACTTTTTCGCGAAAATACCGGGATAATAGGACTTGAACGACGTTTTTTCACAAGCACATAACTATTTTTTAATTTTTTACACAATTTTATAGCATTTAACAATCCGAAATATTTTTATTTTTCACAAACTAAAAAAATATTTTTTTAATTTTTTTGACAATTAATTTTTGTGTGTTGAAATTAAAATTGACAAAACAAAGTTGTATATTTTGGTATTGAAAATGAAAAAATTATTTAAAATAAACTTATTTTTTGTGCAAAAAAAGAGATTTTAAGTCCGAAAAATATATTTATTAAATGTTTACTGATTAGATGTGGGCAAAATAAATTAAAAAATATGCGAATGTAGAAATTTAAATGTTATTTATTTTTCCTTAAATTTTTTATGTACGATTTTATGCAAGTATGTATGTTTGGAAAGTGTGGTGAAAGTGGTTGGAGCTCCATTACTAATACAAAAATTCTACCAATACATACTTAGAGTTAGGTACCGAATGACAAGTCCTTTACGTACCAACTGACAAGCCCCAATTTCTTTATATTCTTTGGTTAGTACCATAGAAAAGGTATACATAGAACTGAAACTGAGTATGACAAAACCTAAGTCTGCTGTCAAAAACCTAAGTCGTGAGAATGTATTAGTTGAAAAATATGCAACCCAACAAACACAAACTCTTTCGTTTAAAAAGTTTTTATATTTTTGTTGTTTTATTTTGATATTTTATGAAATAATGTTTTGAATTAGCCATTTTTATTCAATATCAGTTGACCAATGTAAGAAAGATCTTCATTAAAAATTATTCTTAATTTTAAATAAACTCTTTGTGTTTGCTGGGTTGAGTCAATATTGACACTTGAAAATTATATTAAAAAAATAAAAACGATTGAAAAATTTGTTTTTTTCTGAAAATGTTTTCAATAATTTTATAGGAAAAACATAACTTTTAGCAGTGTTTATTGCAGCAGCAGGGGCTATTTTGCCAAAGGAATTGTGCTAATGCTAAAATTAACGCATGATATGAACGATTATTGTTAATTTCAAAGCAGCCCAAATTCAGTCAAAATACACCCTACACCACACTAATGGGAACGGCATTTTGTTTATGTCTTAAAGTTTGTAACACCTGCGTCGATGTAATGATGTAATCCGTCCATAAATTAGCCTATTGAACTTTTTTGTAAGCGGTACATGCTATACAAGAATAGGGTATTTATAAAATTCGACTCAACAAATTTTATATATACGAAATTTTGACTATATATTGTTATACATTCATTAATTAAGCAAACATCAATCTCTTGAATATAACTTCTACATTAAAAAATACTAAATAACTTAGTGCTACTTACTCGCAATGTGGTAGGGTATGATGTATTCGGATACATTTTGTACTTTCATGTTGTTGTTATTTTATGTAAACAAAAATAAAAATACTCATACAATTGTATTAAATTCACACAGAACCTGTACATGTGAGAGAGTAATATTTCTTATTCTCAGTCTCAGTTCTATTTATTTTTCTATGGTTAGTACTATTGAATAGTAGGCTATTATATTGCTTTTAAAGACTATTTGACTTTTGGAAATGACTAAATTTTTGTTACGTCCTTTTGAATTTCATGTACCATTTTCAATCAAAAAGTTTTTTTATTTAAAATTTTTGGTTGTTGTAAAACTGCATACTTAGTTTTTCATCTTCTGATCGATTGTACTTTTTGAAAGTCTTTAAAATTTGAGATATATAAATTATTAAAACAAATGTTGTTAAATATTTATAGTCGTCCTACTATTTGAACATGGGTATCAGATAGAACGGGACAATCTTAACAATTCTAAAAAAGACAATATTTAAATCTTATAACTCCTGTTATTTATTAATATTTTTACCATTTCTTGGTAAATAAAAAGTGTTTCTAATCCAAATATTTAATATGTACAAAACATGCAATTTGATAATGTGCAAGTGAATATAATTTTCTCTACATTTTAAAGTTTTTAGAAAAAATATCAAAAAACTTGAAGAATTTTCAAGAATTTAAACTTTCAAGAACATTTTTGCTTTTTCATGTTAACACGACTTCCATTGGAAACGGTTGGGATTCTCCTTTTCATCTGATTACATATTGAAAAAAATGGCTTTAAATGTTTAATTATATTTTATTAAACAAATCAAGGGATTTGATAAATCTAAATTTAAGTTTAATATTTATTTATCTAATATTCGTGAAAACTTAAAACCTACCTAAACAATGACGTATGTTTTGTAGCCCTCAGTTCAAAAAATCCTGTTTCCAGTCGTAAATAAGCGCTATGTTCTTGCTCATGTGAGACACTTTTTCCCATTTTTTTATATGGTGTAATCGACTCGCTTGTAATGAACTGCGGATGAATTTTAAAATTTGTTCGTTATAAGCGAAGTTCGTAATAAGACGGTGCAGCTTTTGCAAATCCAAAAAATAATGTGGCATTTCTCAATTAAAATAATATGAAGTTTATTTCATATACTTTTTTCCGCGCAGTCGTTTTGAAATATAAACTTTTTTTGGAAAAAAAAAAAAAAATAAAATAATTAGTTTAAAAGAGAAAAATGGGTTTTATTCAGTTTTTACATAAAATGTGCTACACGTTTTTAAGTTTTGAAACTTCGTATAAATTAATTGTAATCTATACAAAATCATCTTTCTAAAAATATAAAATATGTAGCAAAAAATGCGATTTTTTTTTTTTTTTTTTTGAAAAATGTATGTTTTTATTTTTAAGTTATCGAACAATTTTTAAGAAGATTTAGATGTAGAATTTATACTTTTTGAAAAGCTAACTGAAACACCACTAAGGAAAGTAGTTGCAATTTTACGAAATTTATTAAAATGTTTCAATTTTGTTTCAACTTTTAAGAAGCACTATCTTAAGGTTAGTTTTGTATAAAAAGTCCTAATTCAGCCTTTTTAGACTGAATTGTGATAGGTATTACATAAACTGGACTTTGTTCTTGAATTTGCCATCAATCATGTTTTGCTACCTAATATTATTTAAATAATAAAAAAGAAATACAAACTTAATACAAGGTGAGCTATATTTTTGAGCAGTATTGATTGTTTTGCAATATTTTGCGCCTGTTAACCTTTAACTAAGGAGGTGAAAAGTTATGAGATACTAACGTGAGATTAAATTTTACAAACAAATTCTGCACCAAGATATTTTTTATAACTAACTAGCTATAACAACTTAAAAAATGCACTGTTGAATTTTTAGGAGAAAGACCACTTTCATTGTTGCAGCAAGAGTTTTTTAAACTGTGTGTTACAAAATATGGACCGTTTTAAGCTCTTTTTCTTTTTAGGTTTATTCTCAGTTGTCAACTCCTGGGGAGACCTGATCCTCTTCGCCTCAGATATTGAGAGAGAATCCGATTTTTCATTTGGAGTGTCATGAGATTGACACACTATAATTTCCTGAAGCATCTTCTTCAACTTCCTCCTCTGTGCCCCAGAAAGCCCTTTTTAGTAATAGGCAAAATAAATTAATAAAGTAGCATCACTTGAACAGCTGACTATTTTTTTTAAACTAGATAAATGAAGCAAATTGTCAAAGTTTGTTTTGAAAATTGTTAACATTGTTTACGTCGCCATTTTTAAATTGTGTTTTGCTATTTGTTAAAATTTGTGAAAAGTTGAAAAAGTGAATTAAAAGTGGTTTTAAAGTAGTTTAAAAGTGTAATAAATTGTATAATATATAATAATATAATTAAATCGTTAATATTTTTAACTTAAAAGTAATATTTTTTATTTATGTTTTGTTCACATTGTTGTTCAAGGAAATTTTATTTTGACACAATCTTAAATTATTCCAAAAACAAAATACATGTGGTTGTTGTAGATGTTGTTGTACAACAAGAGATGTCGCTACTTTATTAATATACTTTGGTAATAGGTACTTTAGCTATGCTATCACTCATCTCTTTCACCATTTGGTCTATTTCATCCTTTTTGGGATTCGCTGTAATGGTTTTGTTATTATTATCATCTGAGGATTCATAGTCGAAACCCTCGCCTATCTTTAAAGTCTGAGGTAGCTGAGAACTCTCTCCGCGTACATCCATATCTTTCACCCCTATGTTTTTACCAACGGCATGCTATACACTTGACGCATTGTCCGTCACGGAGGCCAAGGTACCCACCTCCGTAGTAGTATTTTGCTCACGATCGCAGGATGACGACGGCACATGAATCGCGAGCAGATCAGCATTCGCGCCGGTACTGGGTTATTTAGGCCAAGATATATGTATTTATATTATTTATATGGGAAATACCACATCTATTATAAGCAGGCCGCCCATTCTTCCCAAAATGTTGATCCTGATGTCAAAGTTATCCATCTATAACTCTTTTCTACAAATTCGAATTGTAGAAGAAATTTAATAAAATACTTATTTTATTAAATTATAATATTTTGTGTAAAAGAGGAGTAATTCCACAAAAAAGTTTGTACCCTACAGTCAACAATGACCTAAAATGGCAAAAAACTT